AATGCAATCCTAACCATATTACTAAGATCCCCTCTAATAACTTCTGAATCTAATCTCATGCTGTTACCTAAAAACTAGACCTATACATCTGATGAAAATAATTCTAAAATGCCAACTTTTCAATTCCACAATCCTAAAAAAGTTGTTACCTCAGGCAATCTCTATTATTTGATTACAGTTAACTTGGTTTTTGACTTTATTAACTGGGAGTTTTTAACCCCAAAACAAATGTTTATTTCCCACATAAGCATCAATGTCATCTCCCTGTAAAACTTTGGAAATGTAATTAAAACCGAGGTGATATTGACCAACACGTGAAGAATATCCGACTAACATGTGGGCGGGATAACCTGAGACAGAATAGGAAGATTTACAAGAGTTTTATTGTTTATTGTTTTTAAGAGTTGACAGGAATCCCTGAACTTCCTTGTTAGTTTTAAATGAGATTCCATTCGTGAATGAAAATGTAACAAGTTATGAATACCATTGACATTAATTCTTTCATAAAATACAGAAAGAAAAAGGGACACACAGGATCATGGGTATAATAAAAAGAAAATTACACAAAACATTACTTTAAAAATAATAAACCTTATCAGAAATAATTGGGGGTTAAGAATGTATCAGAATTACAATTTTTTACATCATCATTATTTTATAAGAAATATGCAAACATTCCAACAGCTTCACAAATCCTCAAATATGAACTTGCTGTTTAAAACTCAGAGAGGTCAGTTTTAACTGTCATGTGGACAAAATAAAGCAGCAGTTCATATTTGAAGGATTTAAGCTGTGAAATGTTTGCATATTATCTTTATAAAATAATGATGATGTAAAAAATTGTAAATCTGATACATCTTAACCCCAAATTATTCTGATTAAGGGTTTATTATTTGTAGTATGTTTGTGTAATTTTCTTTTATTATACATGGATCCTGGTGTGTCCTTTTTCTTTCGTATTTTTTGAAAGAATGAATGTGCAATGTATTCATAACTGGTTACATTTCTCACGATGGATCTCATTAAACCCACAGGAAGATTCAGGGGATTCCTGGTCAACCTCTTAAAAAATAAACAATAAACTCTTTGGTAACCTTCCTATCTGTCTCCGCGCTCTATCCGCCCACATGTTAGTCGGATATTCCTTCAGTGTGGTCAATATCCCCTCGGTTAATTACAATTTCCAAGTTTACAGGGAGATGACATTGATGGCTATGTGGAATAAACATTGTTTTTGGGGGTTAAAACTCCAGTAAAAAGTCAACAAGTTTTACTGTAATCAAATTAGAGATTGCCCCTGAGTTACAACTTTTTTTAGGATTGTGAATTGAAAAGTTGCCATTTTAGAAATATTTTCATCAGAATGTAATAGTCCTAGTTTTAGGCTAAAAGCATGAGAATAGAATTCCAGAAGGTTTATTAATGAGGGGATCTTAGTTAATATGGAGGAATTGCATTTTAAATCAGAATCAAGTATAGGCCAGGGTGCGTTTACACCAGGGGTGCCCCAATAAGTAGATCGCGAATCGACCGGTTAGATCGCAAGGGTAGTCTGGGGTAGATCGCATGGCATTGGAAAAAAAAAGAAAACAATTTCATTTTTTATTTGGCATTTTGCCTACTTGATGAACCGTACAGGTTAAGTTGTATTGTGCATACGGGTTCCATGCAGTTATGAGGGGGCTTCACCTCTCATCTGAAGCGCAAAATGCCCACAGTTTATCCAACGTTTTACTCCACTAGTCAGAATTGGGCAGGGGCGGCCTGTTAGGTTAGATCATTTGGGCTTGGTCATTTTAAAAAAGTAGCTCCCAAGCTGAAAAAAGTATGGGCACCCCTGGTTTAAACAACTTAAAAGGAATTTGCGTGGGTGGTATGATGGTGCAAACATAAACAACATACAAGTTTGTATATTATTGAACTTAAACAAGGGATCAAAATGAGATTTCCCTTAATTGCATCTCCATTTAACTCTAGGATTTGTTAACCTTACAATATTCTTAGCCTTCACCAAAGTGCATAAAGCCTTGTGGTTTGGGATTTCCTGATTCATTTTGAGTATGTTGTTTAGGCCTTTAAGCTTCATGATACAACTTCTCAGCTAAAGACACATTTTACACAAGGGTTTATATTTTAGAGGGTTTTTATAGAATGAGAATACTTTATTACAAAGATTATGAATGACAATCAACCATTGGGGGGTCGTTAGAAAGTGTCAGAATTAATCTTAATTGTACAAATGTATTCATGAAACGTTATTAACAAACAACAATATTGTGTAACAAGTTCATGTTTTATTTAGTAGAGTGATAAAGTTGGAGCGAGGGAGTCGAATTCATGAAAAAGATTCGTCCATCTGTAATCATTTCTCAATATTGATTAAAGCTTTGTCCTTTGCAAGGCCACTGTTAGCCTAGTTGCACCACCGGTATGTGTTAAGGTAATGGCGGGTTTAGGCCATTCAGTAGTCGGATTTATTCAAGATGATGGAACATAAGGGAGTTCCAATGCAAACTCTCTAGCCTCATCCAAATACCCTTTCTCGACTCCTCTCTTCCCCTCCTTCCGGGACTTGACCGGCGGAAGTTCGATCAAGACAACGCCAGTTTTAAAGGAACGTCCGCAAAGCTGAAATGCACCGGAAGGAGTCGAGGAAGGGTGAGGGAGGGAGGGGTGCGGGAGGAAGACGAAAGGGAGGATACACGAGAGCAGACTGACGCGGAAAAAAAAGGTTGGTTTTCACTACTCCGTTAAAGCCCCCGCCCCCCACCCTCACAGGTGGATGCATTTCCGGGAACAGAGATGTTTCAAAAGAGGTTTCTCAATACTCAAATTTCCCCTCCTCGACTCCTATCCTCTACTCCTCTCCTCGAGACTTGGTGCCGCCCACAGGAGATGCGAGCGGAACACTGAGGAGGGGAACCGAGGAGAGAGGAGTGAAGCAGCAGGCGGTTAGAGAAATGAGAACTCCTCTCCTCTGAGCGGTCATTTTAAAGAGACGTCCATTAATGATGACAGGAGGCACAGCAGCCCTCTGTCTGATGGACAGATGTGTTCATGACGACTTATATATATTTACTTTTAATTCATTGACAGTGCGGTATAATGACACAATAACAGGCTACAGATGTGGACATATACACACACACATATATTTATATAAATATATACAATTTCAGAATCAAACAAGTATGAGAGCACTCTCATAATAACGTAACACAATCAGAGACTGGATATATCCCCCCCCCCCCCCCCTCTCTCTGGTCGCTGAAATGGGGAATTTCAATTACGGGCCAAAAGCTGTACAAGTATTAAAAGTAAGCATAGGACACCAAACCAACTGAGACCCGTCTGTCCGCCGCATCTACGCACTGTACAACAAACATCTACACACTGTACCACACACACCTACAGCTCCTAAAGCATAATCAGGCTACAGCAGTTGTGTATTTTATTATGTGAAGCACTAAGGTAGAAAAGGTCTTAGAACAAATGTTGACTCTTTGTTTGGAGATATCTACTAAACTACAGCATACAAATACAGAAAGTAATGTAGGCCTGTTATACTGAGTGATATATATTTTACACACTGCTCTGCTTTCTGCACAGACCTCACAGCTGTTCTCACAGTAAACATCGCGTTGCGATGAAAG